TTGACCACCACCTTCATTTCATCCATTTTTTGGCATATTTTCTGAAATTGTACATCTATTGGCTGCCACTCACCCTTTCGTGCTATGCCCAACAAGAGATATCACTTGGCAAACACAAAATTCTCAATGTCTCACACAGTATGGGGTCTTGTCTCAGTCATTCATTTTCTTGGAACTCTTAAGAAAAGTTGATTAGTGAACATTTAAAAAGGGTGGTCACTTAGAGTCAGCATGGGTTCCTCAAAACTAGGTCTTGATAGCCTAATCTAATTTCTTTTTTTAACAGTATTATCAGACTACTACATCCAGGCACTGCCTTGAAGACTAGACACAGATTTCATCAAGGCATCTGGCAATCTCTCTTATGACATATTAATAGAGAAGATGGAGAAGACACTGGTCAGATTGCCAGAAGTCCTGTTCCTATGAATCTCAGTCTACATAAACTAGTGGTCATTGTCCAGTAGGAGGACACTAATTTAGGTGCTAGGCTGCTGAGCACTGAATCTCTGAACATCAAGGAGAAAATTCCAACTAACTGGAAAATGAACTAGAGTAATGGATCTTGGAAGGTAAAAATTACAGATGAGTGGGGAATGATTATGGCAAACTGTAAAGGCTAGACAGATTGGAGAAGGAGATCTTGCTTCTCCCTGCAGGACTCTTCCACCCCACAAATCATTCTCTTTCTTTCGTTCTTTCTTTCTTCCTTTCTTTGATTCCTTCCTTCCATTCTTTCTCTCTTTCTTTCTTCTTTTCTTCTTTTTCTTTCTCTCTTTCTTCACTTTTCTCTCTCTTTAGTCTTTCCTTTCTCTCTTATTTCTTTTCTTTCTCTTTCTGTCTTTCTTTCTGCCTTTACTTCCTTCCTACTTTCCATCATTCCTCTCTTTTCTTCCTTCCTTTCTTCTTTCCTTTCTTATTTCTCTCTTTCTTTTTTTCTTTCTCCCTTTACTTTTTTCTTTCTCTGTCTCTCTGTCTGTCTCTCTGTCTGTCTCTCACTCTCTTTCTCTCTTGTGGGTTTTTTTTTATTTTTTCCCTTAGTCTCTTTCTTCCTACTTTAGCTGGCTACAACATATAACATGAGCCTATGCAGCTGCTGCCTTGGGCAAAAGACAAATGGCTTACATAGCACTCATTACATCCTGCCCAACAAGTCACTGATTTGGGGGCTTTGGCTTGAAAGTGGGTCTATTTCAACTTATTTCTGAGAATATGCTTTTTTCCATATTCTTGTCTTTATCTTCTTGCTCTTCACCAAGCAGAAACTTACCTAATCCATTGCTAATAAATTCAAAAATTGGCATAGGTCCTTTGTCAGCAACCTTGTCCCCATGATCAATCAGATATTCTTTCACTGCCTTGTGCCCATGGAACACAACAACACGCTTAACACCCAATTGCAGAGTGAACACTGGGCCGTATTCTTTTGCTAGCTGTAAAAAGAGATGTGGGCAGTAGTGAGTGAGTCATCGCTGAATCAAATGATAAACAGCGACTTCAGCTTACAGGAGCCAAGATGGCAGACTAAAAAGGTAGTTACTCTCACCCTCCCCTATCAACCTCTAAAACCCAGAAAATATCACCCCAGAAAAAAAAAAACCTGGAACAGCTGAACTAGAAGAAAGATGGGAACAACAGTGCAGCAGCCCATCAAACAGGTCTCCCAGTGCATCAGCAAAAATAAGGGAAGCAGGTAGCACTACAAAGGACCCAAGGTAGATAAGCAGCCTGCAGCATTCACCTGAAAGGAGCTGAAGAAAGCAACCTAGAGTCTTCCTAAACTCCCAGCCTTGCTGATTCCAACCTAGCACAAGGTGAGCTGTCAGAACCCTACAGCTTCCAACTGTCAACCAGGAGGAGATCCTGAAACCCAGGTAGTAGAGCAGGCAAACATCAACACCTGGACCTCCAAGTGCCTCAGTGAGGGCAAGAGAACCAGTGGAAACCAGCTCAAAAAACCACCAGGTGCCTCACCACTCAACCACAAAGGAATCTCCCAGTGCATTAGCAGAAATGAGAGAGGCAGCATTGCCAGGGACTCCAGGCAGATAAACACCCTGCAGCACCCATCTAAAAGGACCTGAAGAAAGCTAAAGGAAAGGAAAAGCAGGCAACCTAGAATTGCCTGAAAGTTCCAGCCTTGCTGATTCCAGCCCAACATGAGATAAGCTGCCAAAACCCTGCAGCCTCCAATTGCCAACATAAGAGGCCCCAGCACACAAAGCCAGTGACCAAGACCTAGCTCCCAACACAAAGCTTGGTCAGTGCCTCTCTGCCCCAGCAGGAGAGTCACTCTCTTTAAAGGCCAGGGAATAAAGAAACACCATGAGTAAAAAAAAACGTACCATAGATTCATATTATGAGAAGAGTGAAGATCAAGACAGAAGTTCTGAAGAGGACACCATTGTCCACAAACCCAGATCTGCAACATCAAAAGGGAATATGAACTGGTCTGAAGCCCAAAAAGCCTTCTTAGAAGAGCTCAAGAAGGATTTTAAAAGTCAATGAGAGAGGTAGAGAGTCCTTCAAAAATACAATTGGCCAAATGGAAAAAAAAGTACACTGAATAAAACAAATCCCTAAAATACACAATCGGCCAATTGAAGAAGGAAATACAAAAACTAACAGAAGAAAACAATCTGTTAAAAACTAGAATTGGACAAATGGAAACTAATGACTCTATGAGAGAGCAAGAATCAGTCAAAAACAACCAAAAAAAATGAAGAAAAAAGTATGAAAACATAAAATACCTCATGTGTAAAACAACCGACCTAGAAAATAGATCCAGGAGAGACAATTTAAAAACCATGGGACTACCTGAAAATCATGATGAAAAAAAGAGCCTGGACAGTATTTTCAGGAAATCATAAAGTAAACCAGACCTGAAGTCCTAGAACCAGAAGGTAAAACAACCGTAGGAAGAATACACCACTCACCACCTGAAAGAGATCCCAAATCGACAACACCAAGGAATATCATAGCAAAATTCCAAAATTACCAGATGAAAGAGACGGTGCTTCAAGCAGCCAGAAAGAAATGATTTAAATATCATGGAACCACAGTTAGGAATATACAGGATCTTGAAGCTTCTACATTAAAAGATCGCAGGGCATGGATATGATATTCCATAAGGCACAGGAGCTTGGATTGCAGCCAAGGATCAACTACCCTGCAAAAATGAGCAAGATTTTTCAAGGGAGGATATGGATATTCCGCAAAATAGGGGACTTCCAAACCTTCCTCATAAGAAGACCAGAGCTCAAAAAAAAGTTTCATCTTCAAGCACAAGATTCAAGAAAGATATAAAAAGTAAATGGGACAGAAAGATAGAAAATGCTGTTAATAAGGGCAGACTGTTTGCACCCCTACAAGGGAAGACGACACTTGCAACTCTTGAGAACTTTATTGTTATTACACCATGTTAAATGAGTATATATAAAAAGGGTGGGTTTTAGTTGACTTTGATGTAATGATGAAAAAAATTTGATCAAGTGAGTTAAATGGATCCAAGTAAGTGTATTAGTCTGATCTTAGAAAATGTGCTGAGAGAGGAGGAGGCAGACAAGGGTAAATTATATTACAGGAAAAGTCAGAAAATCTTATTACAGCAGAGGGAAAAAAGGGAAGGGAGATGAGCATTGTTTGAACCTTGGTGTCATCAGATTTGGCTCAAGAAGGGAATAACATAATCAGTTAGGTATGGAAATCTGACTTGCCCTATTGGCAGTAGGAAGGAAAAGGGGAAAGAAAAGGGAGGGTGGATGGAAGGGAGGGAAGAAGGGGTGGTGGAGAAGGGATAGAGGGGGGAGGGGATGATAAAGGGAGGAAGAAGAAAGAGGTGTGGTTAAAAGCAAAGAAGTGGTGGGGGGGAGGGAGAGAGGAGAAAGTAAAGCATAAATAGAGAGAAAAAAGGATGGAGAAAAAAACACAGATAGTAATCATAACTGTGAAAGTTGAATCACTATCTTTTTTTTCCTCTTCTTTTGAGTTTTGTTTCCTCTTTCTGATGGTTCCTCCTATTGGTTTTAATTTTTACTCAAAACTTCACTAATGTGAAAATATATTTATTAGGAATATAAATGTATAGCCTATATCAGATTGTGCACCATCTTGGGAAGGGTGGTAGGGAGGAAGGGGGAGAAAAATTTTAAACTCAAAAGCATATGGAAGTGATTGTTGATAAATCAAAATAAATTCTAGAAAATAAATATATAAATAGATAAATATTTTTTTAAAAAAAAAAAAAAAATGTTAAACAGCATGGAATACTATTGCTAATCTTAATGGGAGAAGTTCTCGGTCCATTATCAGCTCTTTGAAAACATGTCTGACATTTATTAAAAGAGGATGATGCAACTCATGCACCAAACGCAAGTCATAGATGGCTCAGTACAGTAAAATTCACTCTGTGCCTTGGGCTAGCATCCAGAAGACTGTCTAATGAGGCACAGTTTATGACCTCGATACAGTATCCCCAGCTCTTCTGAGAGGCTGAGCCTATGTCTCATAGCTAAGTGCCATAGTAAATACAGCACTGGACCTAGAATCAAGAAGACCTTACTCAAAATCCAGTTTCAGATATTTAATAGGTATGGGATCCCAGGCAAGTCACTTAACCTCTGTCTGCCTCAGTTTCCTCATCTGCAAAATGAGGATAATAGTAATAACACTTAATTCTAAGGGTTCTTGTAAAAATAATAAGAGAATATTTGTAAAACATTTGGCAACCTTTAAATCACTATAGAAATGCTATTATTATCACTATTCATCTAAAGTATTGAAAATAGCAGGGCGGGGAATAGGGACAATGCTGTCAGTGACATGATGGAAAAGAAAAGGGTCCTCATTCCAATAGAAATCCTACAAACCAGTATTATTGGATCATAGGTAAAGATCTGGAAGAGACCTTAGAGATCCATTTTAAACCAGAGTTTCTTAACTGTTTTTTTTTTTGTCACGGACTCTTTTAATAGTCTGGAGAAGCCTATGTAGTCCTCTGAATGATATTTTTGGAATAAAATACATAGGTTTGCAAAGGGAACCACTTATATTAGAATAAAATGAAGATGCAATTTATCCCATCCTAGCTCACAGAACCTCTGAAATATATCTACAAACCCACTAGGAGTTCATGATCCCAAGACTAAGAACTCCTCTTCTAAACCAAACATACTTTTACAGATGAGGACATTGAGTCCCCAAACATCAAGGTATATCTGGGAAGTATAAGGTAAAGATATCTGTTCGTAATCTACCAGATCAAAAGGGGAACATATTTTGGTTTTCACACATTAACCTCACTTAATCTTTTCTCACAACCCTGTGAGGTACATAGGATATTTATTGATAATGTCCTCCTGCAGACCTAGGAAGCTGAGATCAAGAGAGGTCATCATTGCCCAAGGCACAAACTAGTAAATGTCAGAATCTGGACTTGAACCTAAGCTTTTCTACTTGCACATTCAATGCGTTTTCTACTGCCTCAAGCTACATTTCTAAGGCTTTAAGGATCTTCAGGTCTGAGTTCAGAACTTAGTGGTTCCTCTTGAGGCCAGGCTTGCTTTCAGCCAGGCACACTTAAGATTACATGTAAGGACTGAGGCTGCACACAGAGGTTGTGTGAGTGATCCTGTGAAGGAATGTGCAAGGGAAACATTCTCCACTCTGATCCAACAAATGCTGGAAGTTCCTACCTATTTGCAGGACCTACTTATTCCTCAGGCAGCAGAAATAAGCAGGAACATTAAATACCACCTTTCTTCCTATGTTAGGCAATGAGCATTTTAGGTGGGACTGATGGCATTTTCTCCTAGAACTTCGCAGTGCCAATGTGAGCAGTGATAGCACACAATGGCACTTGTTGTAGAATGGATCTCATCCAAACCTACAGGAAATTGATAGCACCCAGCTACCCCTGAAGCAGTGGGTCCTGATGGCCACTGCAGTAAATCAAAAAATGGTCTAGAAAACCTACAAGGTAACTACCTCCCTACTCTAATGTGCTATATTCATTAGAATAAGCTGCTTGAAGACAGTCTCCTAAAACAAATTGATTGCTGCTAGAGTCAGGAATGAAACCAACAGAAGACAGAGATCCATACTTACCTTGCAAAGAGTTTCAAGGACATTCTTAAGGTCCATCTGTACTATATTGCCAATCATTGGAAAAGGAACAAGACCAGGTGGAAGCTTTCCTCTTCCAAAGCCCTTTTTCCATGATAAAATGAGAAGCAGACATGAGATACATAGCAGCAACGCAAGAGCAATGACCACAGATGGTTCCATTGAAACTCTTCCTTACTACTAACGCAATGGAAGGCTTAGAATCCAAAGCTGAGCAGGACTGCAAATATGAAATCAATCACCTAATAATACCTCAAAATCCTGAGTAAGCTTCCAGTGAATTTTTGCCTGTCAATAAGATAAAGAGAATCTTACCCCTTGTTCTATAATACTGTATTTTAATGTATCAGGAACCCTTAATTTGTTGTTTAAAATTTTACTGATATTTTTGCTCCTTATGCAACACAGTTATTTCCCAATATGACCCCATCTCCTCTAATAATCAATACATTTAACAAATATTAAACAAAACTAATGATTTAAGACTTTGGTAGTTTATTTCATGTTCATAATACCTTACCACTCTGCTGAGAGGAAATGTTTCTTTATCTGATCCAAGACTGAGACCACCTTTATAATATTAAAACTTCATTGACCCATTGTTGTTTGTCCTTCATTCTCAAACAGGACCATGACATCAGGGAGGAGATGCCACAATTTGCAGGGGAATTGGATATAAATCAGGGATTTCTGTGCAAGGTCAAAAGCCTCACTTTCTCCTCTGGAGTCATCTTTGTCCACTGGTTAGATATAGATCAGGATGACTGGAGATGACCCTACACGCAATGGGAGAGCTTGGCCTTTTTAAGTGGAAGTCTTTCCCCAGGTCTCATGGAAAAGACTTATAGGACACATTCAATCTTTATTCAAGAAAACTTGAGTTGTTGGGAAGGAAGAGGGTAATTTTGGTTTCCTTTTTTGTTACAATCTTTAATGTTCATAATGAACACCACTGAAGCACATGTTCATCTTCATTTTCAAACAGATTCCAGGAGACCCTGAAAACCTAGAATGCATAATTAATTTGTATAAAATCAAAGTGAGTGTGGAGTAACAGTATGGGCCACGTCAAGTGCTCATTGTACTGGTATATTATGTGGATGAGAGATGAATATATGACCACAAAGGCGAGGCCACACGCTGCTCCTGAATATCTGCAAACTACAAAGCTCACTGTGTTAATGTTCCTGAGGTTTTCTGCTTTACAAATAAAACACAGTCAAATTTCAATCTCCCTCGATCTGAAAAGGCAAGAAAACCATGACAGTTGAGAAAAGGCACTAGGGTTTAAAACTGTTAAAATTCTCCATCAAAGTTAAATTAAAACATTATTTCCTGTTCAACTTTATCTGATATTGTTTTCCCAGAACATTCAGCTGTCACTGACTGTAGCCACGTCTCCAGAAACATTTGGAGATAGGCTACATTGACCCCCACATTATACTTAAACTATTAGTATTCATTAAAAACTCATAATTACAAAACAAATTATAAATTCAGCAGTGTTTTTAAGTTAATTTGCATTTAACAAATTAAACATTATTAGCTATGTGACTCTGGGCAAGTCACTTAACCCCAATTGCCTCGCCAAAAATTCATTAATTAATTAATTAAACATTACTACAGTTCTGAAAAATAAAATATATGTGTAAAACAATATACTTTCAGTCTACAGTGCTTAATCTGGTACATAAAACTTTTTTTAATGACGCTGCTGGGGGTGCATTTTGATCCAAGGGCCACTTGCAATTACTTCATAAAGTACAGCTTGGAGATCACAACTGACAATAATAACTTTCCTTCCTTGAGAAAAATGGTCCCTCAGTTCAAGGGTAATTTTTTTTTAAATGGGAAAAGCTTTTCTTTTTTTTATACATATTGCCTTTAAAAGGTGCTAGTGGGAGATACTAGCTAAGAGAAGAAGAAGAAAAAACTATTGTATGAAAATTCTCCTTAATTCTCTTTAATAAGTTTGATGC